GGCGGGAGGAGCAGGGAGATGCGCCCACACGCGGGGAAACGCGCTGGGGCACGCAGCACCGGTCTGCACCACGGCACGCGGCTGCTGCGCCTGAAGAGACTCTTTCCTGACGGGCACGGGGCTGACCTCGGAATCCCCACGGGAAAGGGAACGGGGAGCTTTCTCCCCAGCTGAACCGTTTCCAGGCCCCGGTGCCGGTTTTCCCACCCCTCCTGCCCTCTCCTCCCCTGGCCACTTCACACCACTCCGCCGCATCGCCAGCTCCTACAGAAACGTGCTCCAAGCGTACGGAAGCGGCTCGTACCCTCGTTTCCGACTGCCACCGGCCAGGCTGGTGCACCCCACTGCGTGGCAGCGTCGGGGACAGCGCTGTCGGAGCGTACCAAGGACCTTCTACACCAGTCAGTGAAGATGCAGGGCCAGCTCTTTAGACTTTCGGCATGCAGGCAAGTGGCGTCGTGTGGCATTGAATAATTTCAGCGTTGCTCACGCAGTATATACATATATCTGGTATATATATATATATCGAGGTGTGGCTGCGGTACTGCGCTAAGTGTGTCATGAGGCTCCGGGGAGGACATGGATGGAATGGGCAGATTCTACAACAGCAAGTTTCCCTGTGATCTATTCGGGACAGCGCGTGGTTATTTAGACAGAGATGATTTTTAGGAATAATGATGTTTTTCTGCGGCTTGCCTTGTTCTCACTGCTCTCCGGACTCAGGGAGGATACAGAGACACTTCCATTAACTGTACGGTGCAATAAATGACATGAAGACACTCTGGGCACGCAGGTGGTCGCTTGCTCAGGGGACACCTGTGCAGAGGCCATCCTACCTCTAAAGCAGCTTTCCACAATATAAATTAATTCTTTAGCTACTTCAAATGGGTGAGTGGCACCGCCATCAGGCAAACGCTTCTCGAGAGCAGAAAGCGCTACCTGCTACGCAGACTAACCTGGCTAGCTTTTGGAGCTGTAAAACACCCGGGTCACTTCTGAGACTCGGGATGTGCACGCCTACATATCCCTGCGATAGTGCAATTTTTGGAATAACGTTTTGGAGCGCTCAGTAAGGAGGCGGGTTAACAAGGAACGCACAGCTGGGCGCAGCACAAACTGGCAGTGCTCGACAGGCAAAGGCGGAAAGGCTGGCAGCCACAGCCGCTGGACCTGACCCTGCGAGAGCCTGCGGCCCTCGGCCCCGCCGGGGGCGCCGC